CACGAGGCTGACAACACCGAGGACGTCGGCTGCCCGACACCTTCACTGCTGGGGACAGACGACAGCCCGCAGTGAGGCTGACGACACCGAGAACATCAGCTGCCCGACACCTTCACTGCTGGGGACAGACGACAGCCCGCATGAGGCTGCGATGGGGTTGAGTGAAAACAGTCAGTTGTATGACAGCATGTCTCCATTTCATTTTTGTTTTAAAGTAATGAAATATTTAAAAAAAGTTTTTAACGCATAGAAAAAAGTTGAGAAGGCAATGTACTATATCATTAACAGCAGTTTTAGGACAGAGGGATTATAAGGAACATCCTTTTTTTTAAATTTGGTATATTTGGGTATCAGCTGTATTTTACTCAGCTTTTTTGCTTTTGCAATAAGAAAACAAAAAAATATTTACAGTTGAATAAATACAAACTTTAAATAGACTAAAAAGATTCCACTGATAAAACAGTTTTACTTAAGCCCAGCTTACTAAACCAAGCAGAAAGGGCTTCAAACGAAAAGACAGCGACACAGCTTTACAAAACAGAGCCCAACATTTCAACAGGCTGCTGCTGCCACCTTTCTGTTAAAAGTGCTGCACACACTCCCCCGTCCCCCCTCACCACTACCCCTCTCCCCTGTCCCTCTCACCCCATCCCCTCGCCCCGTCCGGTCACCCCCATCCCCTCGCCCCGTCCGGTCACCCCCATCCCTCCCATCCCTGCCCCCTCACCCTCACCCCCTCACCTCCCTCACCGCCATCCCCCCTCGCCCCGGTCCCCCTGGCCCCGTCCCCCCGCCCCGTACCTCCAGCTTGGTGAGCCGCTCTTGCTCCTCCCTGGCCAGCTCCTCCTCTGTTTTCATTCTGTTCGAGGGCTGAGCCTTCATCTCAAAGCCAAGCTCACGAACCATCACATCATATGGGTCAGGCTGGGCGGCAAAGAAGACGTTTTTCATCGTTAGTATTTTTTTTCTACAGAAAGATCTGTGTAGCTAGTTTCCTGGCCCTTTCCTGGCTGGACACTGTCATGGAGGAAGCCAGCCACGTCTAAGTCTTTTTTTCTTCTAGACAGAAAGCTGCTTTGGAGGAGTGGTTAAGTGCTCGGCTGTCAACCGGAAGGTCAGCAGTTCAGACCCACCAGCCACTCTGTGGCAGAAAGAGGTGGCAGTGGGCTTCTGTAAGGATTACGGCCCTGGCAACCCTCTGGGGGCAGTTCTGCTCTGTCCTACGGGGTCACTGAGTCCCGACTGACGCGACAGCAGCAGGTTTGGTTTGGGGTTTCTTTAATTCACCTGGAATAGATGCTGAAGTAACTTCTAGTCTGTTTCCACCCTGACATGACAGACGTCAGATGATTCAATTTAAAGGCTCGACAGAAAACTTATGTCCCAGCAGGAAGGGAGAAGAGAAGCAATGAGTGTCAAGGAAACAGACCAAAAGAGACAGCCGGCGGCTTCTTCACAGAAAGCCACCGACAGAAGCAAATTCAGTATTCACTCCCACCTTGGGTTTCTCCTTCTTCTCTTTGTTCTCCGACTTGGGTGTTTTATGTGACAAGAGCGTCTGGATTTCTTTCCAGTCCTGGTCTAGCTTCTCCGTGAGCTCCAGGGCGTTTTCCCGTTGAGCCTGCCTCTCCCTCTGGGGAAGACAGCAAACACAGCAGCGCACACCATTACTGTCCACTCCAACGGAGCAGCCCAGCATCAGAACACACACGGTAACCACTTCACCGACACCATGCGTGTCACAGGAAAGAGACCCCTTGAATTTGTATATAAAATAAAACGACAAAACCTCATCAGGTAGAGATAATTTCCTGCTATAAACCATTCATATAGATGGTCTAAGCAGTTTGTTTTAAGTTGGTAAAAACATTGATATTTTGCAAATCCTGATACACATCAAAATATTTTCCACTCCCACCCCCCAAAATCAGAAGAATAGGCGAGGTAAAATTTAAAAAATATTCCTAATCAAAATTTATATGACATATTAAATTCAGCCTAAAAATGTACAGGGAAAGAAATGTCTCAGAAATAGGCTGCTGAGTGTCTTTTGTGATGTAGCCTCTCCATGCCGAGAAGACCAAGTAACCCACCTTCTCTTGCTTCGACCTTGCAATGAGCTCCTCGATCAGTTCTTTGCGTGACTTTGCTTTGTCCCCCTCCTCGCTTTGCTGTGAAGCAGTCTTGTTAAGGAGCCCACCGCCCCCTCCAAAATGGGCAGCAGTCAGCTCGGCTGGAGACGAAAGGTGGAAAGGGGCACCAGGGAGAATCTTTAGCCGCGCCCTGCCAACACTTCCCGACTGCAGCCTTGAGACCCGCGTGATCCTATGCTTGCGAAGAAGTTCTCACACATGCTGGGCATGAGACCCCAGCATGGTACCCTTACACACCATGGATGGGTCTCAAACCCAGAGACACCGAACAGCCAGTGGCTGGAAACACAGAACTAAGTTCTAACTGCATTCAATTGTCGTGAAAGCTGGGCAAACACAGCCCAAGAAGTTGAGGCTCTGGCAGGGAGCAGCCTGCAGGTCACTGCTGTTCCAGCTCTCTCCCGTTCCTCACTCTGGCTCCGTTAGGGGCTGGGAGTGAAAACGTCCCTGAGATAAATGGCAAGAGCGTGAATCATCAAGAGCCGGAAAGCCTCAGTTCATTCTACTCTCCAGGGCAGAAGAGAGATATGAAACACGGTACAAATGATCCGATTTGGAATGGAAAAACCAGTGCTTGTCGAGTCGACTCCGACTCATGGAGACCCCATGTGTGTCAGAGTAGAACTGTGCTCCAGAGGGTTTTCAATGGCTGATTTTTTAAAGGAAGACTGCCAGGCCTTTCTTCCAAAGTGTGTCGGGGTGGACTCGTACCTCCAACCTTTTGGTTAGCAGTTGAACCCATTAACCATTTGACTCTTCAAATAAGACGATGGATATTAAAATGGTTTCTCAGCCCATAAAAGTTAGTCAGCTCTGCTCTCTTTCCATACATACATATATATCTTCTTAAAGTCCTGAACTTAATAAAAAATTTTTTTATAAAGCAGAAGGGCTTTAAAGATAGTGACACAGCTTTAGAAAATCTAATTCTGTAGAATTTCTTAGGAGATTAGCGACCAGTGACACTTCTATCCTATGTCTCCAGGAAGAGCAGGAAGAAAACTGAACTTGGAAGAGAGCACCCAGCCCCTCAGCAGCCCCGTGGTGGCGGCACGCCCCCAGCCTCACCAGACAGCGTTCCTCGTTCCTCAGTATCACTGTCGCTATCCACAACGTCATTAAGCTTTTCAATATCTGCCAAAGACTGGCCGTAATGCGTTAATTCTTCATCTTCGTTTAGGTTGTAGATGCTTTTTTTCTCGTGGTGTCGCTAACAGAAGGAAAAAAAAAAAAAATCAGTTTCCTAATATTTCCACCTCCAATTACTAGCAAAACCCAATGATTTTTCCATTATATGTGGAACTTGGACAGGTATCCCGAGCAGTCTTAAGATTCTTCTGGGTCATTTAAGCAATGATTCAGAATAAACAGAGAAATGAACGGGCTGGGGAAGCCACAGGGAAACACACAGCCTCACCCACCAGGATTGCACCCATTCCGTTCACCCAGCAGAGTTAAAGGTAGCAATTCAGTGAAATCCTCCAGCACAAAGTGTTCACTTTGGTTAAGAGATTTATCCCCTCAGTTAACATCTGCAGAAGGCTGCTTCCCCTCCGGCCTAGCCGGACCAGGTGAGGGTTCGAGACCTCCCGCAGTACCTGGTGGCGAGGGCCCAACAAGGCAGCTGCACCTGGTGTAGGTGACGGGGGCAGCAGAAGCCCCCCTCCGACTGCTTCCATACCTGCTGTTCCAGGGCAAACCTCTTGGTCATCTTCTCCTCTGGGGTCAAGCTGCTATTGTATTCCCCAAAGCGCTTGTCTCTGAATACGTTGGACTTATCCCTTTCTTTATATTCCTTTAGTAAAGTCTGGGTACGCTGAAAAAGAGATCGTAACAGAATCTCAAAAAAAACTTCCTACAATGTCCAGTAAAAGGTAAACTAGAACAGTGCACATTCTAAAGTTCACAGCAATAAAGTCTAACCTCATTGCTGTCTAGTCAATTACAACTCAGAGCGACCTATAGGACAGGGTAGAACGGCCCCGTAGGGTTTCCAAGACTGTAATCTTTACAGAAGCGAACCGTCACATCTTTCTCCCGCAGAGAGACTGGTGGGTTCAAACCGCTGACTTTTCGGTTAGCAGCTGAGCACTTAACCACTGTGCCACCAGGGCTCCTTTAGTAAAGCCTAGGTACGCTGGGGAGCCCTGGTGGCGCAGTGGTTAAGAGCTCAGCTGCTAACCAAAAGGTCGGCAGTTCAAATCCACCAGCTGCTCCTTGGAAACCCTCTGGGGCAGGTCTATTCTGTCCTACAGGGTCACTGTGAGTCGGAATCGACTCTACGGTAACAGGCTAGGCACACTGAAAATCAGATCACAATACAGCCTCACAAAAACCCCGTGTGAGCTCCACTAAAGGGGACATCAGAATGGGACAGACTTTAATGTTCCGGAGCTAGGCACTGTGACGTCAGAGTTTACGGAGCATTTGCTTCACCCCACACAGGCCTTTCCTGAAGACAGAATCTCGAAAAGAGAAAACCAACTCATCCTCACTGATAACGGTTCAATCACTTAATTCATTTTCCCCTTTAGAGTTTATCTGTTAGTGCTGAAAGGGAGGAAGGGTAACAAGGCAACGCAGCCTAACTCCAGGCATGAAACTGCTTTTTCAGCTGCAGCAGCTGAATTACAATCGAGCCAAGTGCTTACTGTATCTAAACAATTGGACACTTTTGATACATTTGGAAAAGTGGAATGAGTTTAGATCCCTTCCATGCTGGAGGGAGAGGGGCATATTTTCCATAGAAGACATTCCTATAAAATTTATAGCCATGCCTTCGTACAGGATGCAAGATCGTGAACAAAAGTTTGTTGTTTTTTTAAATTTTGGGGTTGTGGTTTATAATTTACAATTTAGAACACCAACAGACACCAACATTTTAAACACAGATGTTAACAACTAAAAACAATGTTGCCATCAAGTCTACTCTGACTCACAGCAACCCCATGTGTGTCAGAGCAGAACTGTGCTCCACGGGGTTTTCAGCGACTGATTTTTTTAAAGCAGACTGCCAGGTCTTTCTTCTGAAGCACTTCTGGGTGAACTTGAACTTCCAACCTTTTGGTTAGCAGCTAATTGCGTTCACCGTTTGCCATCACCCAGGGAATCCTAACAGCTAATGTTGTTGGTGGCTGCTGTCAAGTTGATTCCAACTCACAGCAACAGAGCAGAACTGCCCGATAGGGTTTCCTAGGCTGTAATCTTTATGGGAGTAGATTGCCAGGTCTTTTCTCCCACAGAGCCGATGGTGGGTGTGAAACGCCTAATGAGTATCAGATAATCTGATATTTCCCACAGCAAGCCAGTCAACAATTTCGGCATTATTCAAAGTTGGCTGTCCTTGAGGTTGAATTCCATAAACCGGGGATGAGGACTGATTTTAGCCTCCAGGCCCTGAGCTGGCTCTATACCCACTGCTGACGTCCCTAAGTATGCTAAGGGACTGTCATTGAACCTGGTTTTATACAGCAACCAGTGACAAAAGGAATTGGTACCAAGGCAGAACCCTCAGACAATGGAAGGTCCCTGTAATGGTTTAATTCAATGGTTTTACAAACTCGTCACAAACTAGGCATCTCCCAGATACTGGAAACCCCATGTAACCCAGGATGTGAACGTTTCTTAGTTCCTGCGTTCTTCAGGAATTCCTCTAATTTCTGAATTATGTTTAAACACTCGACTACTAGCTGAACAGTTGGTGGTTTGAACCCACCCAGAGGTGCATCAGAAGACAGGCCTGGCGATCCGCTTCCGAAAGGCCGCAGCCTTGAAAACTTTGTGGAGTAGTACCACCAGGAGTTAGAATAGACCCAACGCAACCACCACCAACAAACTGTCGTGGAAGGCTAGAGGGGAGGGAGACTGGCTTTCTCCTTGCCGTCCTGGTTTCACCTCTAGACCCGAACCATCTTTGATTCAGGAGACAGAGCAGATTCTGCTGCAGGTGTACGTCATTTCCCAGGGATGGAGATGAACGAAAGTCTAAGAAACCAACATGGCCAATGAAGGTCAAAAACAGGAGAGAAGAGAGAAAAGGGTCAGCAAGCAGCTAGGCAAGAGAAGACACTAATTAGAGTCTTTTCTTTTCTAGACAAAAGCAAGCACTGGCTGCCCGTTTAATTTACTCCCTCTTCCAGTCCTGCAAAGACAGAACACATCCCATTTGGAGAAGTCCATCACACACCATCAGCTCCTAGCAGAAAGGCCAATGTTTAATTCAATTAAAACTCAACTGGATGGCATACTGTGTGCCTGAATACAGATCAGACCAAGACCTATTCACCTCTGATTTCCCAGGAGCTAGAAGAGACCTTCAACAGGAGAGCTCAGCGTTGCATGAAAGCTCCACAATCAGACCTCAATTCAAGCCTGGCCCTGCCACTTACCAGCTACAAACGTGTCCTCCTCAGAGTAACCACAGCTATTGTGGAGCACACCAGTAACATGACAGAAGGTGCATGCAGAATGCCACTCATTGGATTGAAGTTGAAGTGAAGGTACTGAGTCCTGTGAGACTCTACACAGACAGTGGATCTGAGTTACCACCCAAGTAACAAGGTCATGTGCTTCAAAGGGCAGACATAGTCATTCTTCATCCTGCTACCCCCTACCCGAGGACATCATGCTTGGTAGAGGGTCAGCGAAAAAGAGGAAGACCTTTAAGGAGAGACTGATGCAGTGGCTGCAACAATGGGCTCAAGCATAATAACAATTGTAAGGATGGCGCAGGACCAGACAGTGTTTTGTTCTGTGATACACAGGGTCACTATGGGTCGGAACCAACTTGACAGCACCTAACAACAACAGGGATAAAAAGATGAATGGATTCACAGCCCCTAAACTAACAGAGTTCAAAACTGGAGTGAAAAAGGGCTGTAACAGAAACGTACATGGCAGCATAGAAGTGATGAATTCTGCCTGAGGGAGCTGGAGAGGAGCCACAAGACAAAGACAGAAAGACAGACAGACAGACAGACACACACACGCAGGGACTTGGAGGAAGAACAGGTGTTTTCTAGGTCATTCCAGCCCATGCAAAAGCACAGAGATATGAAGGATAAAAGTAGTCAGTGATAAAGAGCGTGTAACTATGCCAGGCACTGCCCTAGCAGTTTCAGTGAACACAGGTAATCCCCCAAGATGCCTCGGATGTAGGTCCTATCATTATCTCTGTTTTACTGAGGAGGAAACCAAGGCACACAGAGGTAGGCAACTTGCCCACACCTTACAGCTAGCTGGTATGTTGCCCAGTGGACCAAACCCGGGCAGTCAGGAAAGAAGTTCAAGAAGCAGGGACGAGTGTGGTCAGGTCCGGGATAAGGTAGCCCACCCTGGCTGCAGAGGGGCAGGTCGACTGGAGGCCAGCCCAGAAGGGGCAGGAATCTGAGTTAGAGGAGTCTGAGGCAGCGGTGGTTCACTGGTAGACTTCTCACTTCCCATGCGGGAGACCCAGGTTCAATTCCCGGCCAACGCACCTCATGCGCAGCCAGCACCTGTCAGTGGAGGCTTGCGTATTGTTACGATGCTAAACAGGTTTCAGCAGAGCTTCCAGTCTACGAAGGACTAGGAAGAAAGGCCTGGCGATGTACTTCGGAGATCAGCCAGTGAAAACCCTATGGATCACAACAGTCCCATCTACAACAGATCATGGGGATGGCGCAGGGCTGGCTATGCATGGAGTTGCCACGAGTCTGGCTGACTTTCTATGAGTCTGGCTGACAGGACAACAACCATAGAGGAGTCTAGCAGGAGAGATGCGTTCACTGAAAGCTATACAGAGGATCAAGCACCGGGGACACCAAAACAAGGAAGGCACCATCCTTCCCCCCAAGAAACTGCGTCTAGTGAAGGTGCCCCAAACAGACAGCCACGACAGATCGCGGTGAGGCCCTGAACTCAGCGGGGAGGAGGGTCGGGGAGGGCCCGAATCTTGCGGGGAAGAAGGTGGGAGGAGGGTCACCAGAGGTGTCAGGCGGGGGCCGGGCCCGGCAGCTGCTCGGCTTACCTTCTTGATGGCCCGCGCGCGGGACACGCCGGGCAGCCCCACGTCGTGGCGCGTCTTCCTGCCCAGGATCTGGAACTTCTGCCTGTTAACTTTCACTTCGAAAGGGTTGGGGTTGGGCTTCGCCTTGACTCCCCGCGCCCCAGCCTGGGCCCCGGGGGGCTTCCTTCGGGCCCCGGCCGACTTGGCCTTTCCCATGGCGCACGTACCCCTAGGCGATCGACACCTCACAGGCCTCGGACCCGGGCAAGGAGGCGAACTAGACTGTGAGGAGAGGCGCCACGCTGGAGCAAGGCTATCTGACTAAACACGTGCTGGCGCAGGATACAAGCTCCCAGTCTCTTTTCCCATCAACTGCGCCAGCTCCGCAGATATCGCGAGAATCAGACACATCCGGTAAGACCTTGACACGCCCCGGCTTAACACCCTGGCCTTTTTCTTCGGAGCAACTTCAACTCCCAGCAGGCCTCGCTTCCCCCGACGGCACTTCCTGTCTACGCGGTGCCTTCTGGGAGTTGTAGTGGCCCGCGTGGCCCTCCGCCGCCTCAGGCGCGGCGGCGACAGGAGCGCTCGGGCTCCCTCTCCTGGGAAGCCGTTAGCTGGCCGGCCGGTGGGCGAGCCGCAGGCGGCGGCCCTGCCAGTGAGCCCGCCCTTGGGGCGGTGCTCGGCGGAGACTCAGGGGGAACCAGGGGCCCGGCCCTGAGGAGAGCGTTGCGCGAGGGCGGCCAGGGCGATGGGACCGAGAGAAGCCCGAGCGGCGGCGGCAGCGCGGCGGCAGTGACAGCGGTG